AGGTCTGATTTGTAATTGTTGTTTATATACATTTGTTTTAGATATATATTTTTATAAAATCTGTTTGCAGTTGTGTTTAGGTTTAATGAAAAAATGCATTTAAAAAATACATCAGTAATGCAGCCAAAACACATCAACATTTACAGCTTTATTTTGGTAATCTGATTTTGGTACACCAATAGTTATTATGAAAGATGCAGGCAGAAAATATATGTGGATAGATAGATTCAGATACTAAAGAACAAAAAACAACTTTAATCCAATTCCATTCTACAAAATTAAAGACCACAAAAGTAAGAAAGTGCATATTAAAGAACAACAGCACACTGGCTTCACCACAGTTGCTTCTGTACAATACATCATTATTTTTTAACTATTCAAATTGCTTTTCAGAAGCAGGTATTAGTGTGCAATGAGATGTTCTTCATTTCACTTCAGTTAAATAGTCCTATATGATTTCGTAGTTTTTTTTATTATTATTATTATTTGCAGAGAAATACTTATGGAAATCTGGAACTGTGTCAACAGCAATGTTTTACTGCCACTTAGATAAAAAAGAACTATTTTGTACAGTTCACATGCCCCACTTTTAAGGTAAAGGGGTAATGAATTAAGGATCTCCTCTTCACAATATTTTCTTTATGACCATTGAAATCCAACTCCTGTAAGCAGAAATTCGTGTGTAGACTGTTGGCAATTCTGGATCACAGTTGCCGCTACCCCAACTTCCAACCCCAACCACTTTATAATAGCCATCATTCTTGCATATAAGTAGTTCTCCAGAATCTCCCTGCATAAAACAAAGAGAAGGAAAGGAAGAGAAGCGAGAATTATGCATTCCCTGCCAAATTACATGGTCCATCAACTAAAGCACAACTGACAAAACCCCAGCCTAAAAATCAACCAGCAATCAATTATCTATGATCTATGATAAGGGTAACAACTGTATGAAAAGGGATTGGGTAGCACCTTTGAGGTTGAAAGAAGTTTGCAGCATATGCTTTTGTAGACTGGGACTACTTCACTAGATGCATATGGGAACTGTGTAGCCTGTGAGCCACATGAGAATTGTTTTTAATAGATCTAGAAATAATCTTCTGGTTACTTCCAGTTTCATTAGAAACATGTGACTTGTAAACACAAGGGAGCAGTCCATGG